TTCTTGAAGTTATTCCTAACCTTGTAGTACTTGCTCTAGCTTAGTTCTTACTTTTATAAATTTAGTATTTATCTAATTTTATACATAATTGTATTTTTTTTCTTTGATTTGGTTTAATTTTTTCTTTATTATGATCATTTCTCAACAACTATTCTTTTTTTAAAAAATAATCAGTTAAATTTTGTTTGTGTTTTTTTTAGGGGATAAAAATTGAGTTGTGATGACATGGATATATAAGTATTAGCAATTGCCTAGTAGTATGGTGGACATGTGGTGATAAACTGGCTAATTGCATGATGGACAATTGGTTGGCTGTCTTCGGATGTAACCAAATACAACTTCCATGCAATTTTTTGGCTGTCTTCGGATGTAACCAAATACAACTTCCATGCAATTTTTTGGCTGTCTTCGGATGTAACCAAATACAACTTCCATACAATTTTTTGTAATAAGTAGGCAATACGAATTGTGTAGCGTGCAATACGAATTGTGTAGCGTCCAATACCTTGTAGCCAAGAAGGTATCTTGTAAAAATCATATAATAGGTTTTGTTTATTTTTTGTTGAGTATAATAAAAGTTGGGAATGATTCATGTAAATTGCTTTACATTACGTAATGGCTTTTGTGTTCCAATTGCTATAACTTCTTCTTTACATTAGGTATGAGAACTTTAGTGAAATATGAAACTTTTAGTTGTAGATAAATATAAGTAAATTGTAAATTAAATTTAAAATACTTAGATACATGAATTATGACATCTTTAATTTTTTTAGTTTTATTAAAATTATTAAATGAATACCTTTTAAAAGTATAGATATATATCTGCTAGGTAAAAAAGATAGAGAAAAGAATATTAAATAAATAAAAAAGATAGCTTATTAGAAAATTTATCTAGATTTTCATTAATAAAAGTTACATAGTTATAAAATAATAATAATAGGGCAGACATAGTGATGAGACCATGTAAATGTAGTGTGTATTTGATATTATTATAACTTTTAAGATTATAAATTTTAAAAAGTAGATTAAAAAATAGTTTTTGTTATGGTTTTAAAAATATAAATTTAGAAAGATATATGATTTGTTAAAACTAATATGCAATAAATTGTTATATACAAAACAAATAAAAAATAAATTATTTTAACTTCTATAAAATCAAGTTTAAAATGCTATCACTACAAAAAAACATATGTTATAGGATAAAAACAAAAATACCAAAAGTTATCATATGGTAACACCACTCCATTTATAACTTGACACATCCTTAACTGTTGATTAAATATTTTTTTAAATAAAAAAATTCTATACACAAGTTTTTTTAATATGTTTTTATAGTTAAAATTAAATTTTATAAGGGAAAATAGTTTTTTTATGCATACATGTAATAAGTAAATTGAGAACTATGTATGTTAATAAATAAATAAAAAACCATAAACGATAAGAAAAAATAAAAATAAAAAAATTAAGAGATAGATCTAAATCAAAAATAAGAAAAAATAAAAAAAAAATTAAGAGATAGATCTAAATCAAAATATTTAATCTCGTAAGCTGAGATACTTACCTAGTTGTTTTTGCTAAATTTATCTATTAAAATATTTTTTATTTAAGCAAACAATAATATAAATAAAAACACAAATGAAATTGATTCAATAAAATAAAAGGGGAAAAAACAGTACTTAAGACTATACATATTATAAATATTATCTGAAAAAAAAAATTTATTTTCAAAAGTAAAGTTCATTTATACAAAAGGTAAAAGCATTTTCGATGGATCAAAAGAACTCTTCTGAATTTAAATGCATGACAAAAAAAAAAGTTATTTAAAAGAGGTTTTATAAGCAAAATAAAAGAGAGAAATGATATTAATTTAAATATTAAAAAATTAGAGAGAAAACCAAATAAAAAACATTAATTTTAAAAATTAGTTACAAAAAAATTAATTTAGAAAAAACAAAAAAAGCAAAGGCCAACCACTATTGAGCTTGTCAAGCCAGACCAACTCACCTGACTCATTTTGAAAAAAAAAATATTAATTTTGTAGGCGCGTAATTATTACTTAAAAGTATATTTTTATCAAGGTTTTATATTATCATTTTGTACTTGAAGTATCAATAACTTCTTAATTAGAGTATATTTTATAATAACATGTCTAATAATATAAGATACCTTTAATTTATAGTAAATGCTCATTTTAAATGCAGGCATATCTCACAATTCAAAGGATTGATTGATGTAATTAACTATTGAAAGTGAAAAGATAAATAAAATGCTGAGCTTAAAAAAGAAATGCTGATTCAATTCAAATTGGAATATTGTTCAGCCATTTGGTCATATCTAGAGTTATAAATCTTGGATTTTAGTTTGGTTTATATAGCTAAAAAGTTAAGATATAGACCTAAAAATATTCATGATGAGTCCAAAACTCAATTATGTTGTTTGGAAGTCTAAATATTAACATATAAAAAAAAAGTCTAGATCTGTCATGCAGACTAGATACTATTCAGTGTTTAGTCCATATGTTGAGTTCTAGAATTCCAAATACACCGATTCTTTTAATATTGAAAATTTGAAACTATTTTCTAGAACTTTTATGACTATCTCTATTCAAATTCTAATATTGGTAATGATGTTTTTAGCAAACAAAAGGATAATGATTGTTATGAAGTCAAGAGATGACCACCTACTCAACAATTAGTTATTAAATTAATAGTTTCAAATTTTGGTCTATTCAATGAGGCATTTGTCATGCATTTATGCATTTTGGTTTTTAGATCAAGATCATGTTCTTACTCTTTTTCTTTATATTTATGTAATACTTAAGTTTTTTTTGCATTAATATCTTATTTATGCCTTTCATTTTCTTTTCTTTACTTAGTTAACTTAGATCTTATTCATATTTTTATTTTGTTTATTTATGTTTATCTCTTTCATTATATTTAGTTAAATTTATTATGTGAGGTGAAAAGATTACATTGATGGTGTAAAAGAAAGTATAGTATAAACTCAACATGGACCTTAATATTTGATACTAATATGTTTTGTATTTGTTATCTTATTCACTTTTAATACTTTACTTGTTAAATGGTTAATTTAGATTTATATTGTATAACCCTTGGTACAACAAATATGATATAAGCGACACCTGTTCTATGAAAGAAACTTAATTTGTTGTTAACATAAATTATAATTATGAATACCTGACAATATTTATAAGTATTAGCATTATTTGAATAAGATAGCTAATGTAATCATGTTAACAATTTATAATCCGATTGGAACTTTCTTTGTGTGATTTTCAGTTGAGTAATAAAAAGAGTTTATACTATACTTGTTTGAAATACCAGTAGTGGATCCTCTAACCTTGACAATTATTTTATCCTTGTTTAATCTTACATCTCAAAAATCTTCTTCAACTCATCAACACCATTAGCACCACCACCACCACCATTATTGCTATTATTATTATTTATAATTTATATAGTTAACCTCCATATGGTTCGATTCCAATCTTGTTGGGTTATTTATTACTTTAACATTACTATACTTATGAGAAGACATTAATCTTTTGTCATATTAGTGCAACTAGGCCCTTATATTTTTTTTTGTTTTAATTGGGACAGACAACATGTTATCAACGACAAAGTTTTATGGAAAAAAAAATCAAACAATATGTTGTGTTATCCGCCCTAATTTTTTTTTTTAAAAATTAAACAACGAGTCATTAAATTTTCCCAGATTTTAGCCACCACAGTAGTTAGAAAATCAGGGTTTAAGTTGTTTTTATCCAAAAACATGTTTCTCAATCTATTTTAACCATAAACACCTATAAAACACCTTAGAAACCACAATAAACTTATTCATGATCTAAAAAAGATAAAAAAACACCATCCCAAAAATCAAAATGAATCAAAAACCAAAAATCATACCGAGTTCATATATATTTTTTCATGAATTTTAAAGGTAAAAAACAAATGATATGAACTTCCTTCATCAAATAAAATAATTTGACATAAATATCGATTGTTTTGGTGATCTAAATCAATGTCAATGATATTTTTTCTTCTTTCAATCAAGAACTAAAAATAACAAAAATAAACTTTTGTATCCAAATTAAATTTCAAAAAAATTGAAACACCAAAATCGTATAATTTAGGTTATTTTTTTAAATCAGAGGATCAAAGTATATATTTTTCTCAAAACTTCTAGCATGCCACTTATATTTGGAGTCTTTTTTTAATTCGGTCTCTATTTTTCCAATTCCACTATTATCTAAGAAATAAGAAATAAGAAACAATTAGCCTTAAATTAGAAATAAATCATCTAAAATAAAACTTTAAGAACTAAAATAAATTATTAAAAATAAAAAATATCATTCATAGTGTTTTATAAGAGGTTGAATATCATCGACTGCATAATACTCACCCCACCGTATTTTAATCTTTAAATTAATAATAATCAATCAGAGCATTTAATTAAATTAATAATAATGATTCATTTTCATCCTTAATCGTGTCATGATAATAAAATAAAATACTCCTCGTCACTCATCTTATAGCCTATATTTGTCATGATTATAATCATGATTGATCTTGTTCAATCAATAATGTTTTTTTGAATAAATTTAGTAATTAATCTAAAAAAATATAAATAAATAATAGAATAATACAAGATTAAAAAGACTTAATTAAATGGTAGAGTTTGAAAATATTACAGTTGTGAACTGCGATGTTTTAATAACATTACAGTTCAAAAATATAATATCAATTGGCGTCCCATAACAAACAGACAGTAACTAAAACGGTCCCATCATTTTTAATTATTTTAGAAAAAAAAATATAAGTATTTTTATGGATATTTGTTGGGTTCAAGTGAAGGTGCTGTCGGTTTAGAGACAGAAGCCGCGTCCGGAATGTGTTCTTCAACGACACTTCATTTTTAATTGATATTAGCATCTTAAATTATCGTATTTTAATAATGTTTTTCAAACGGTATGGTCCCATCAGTGCTCATTAATAATAATAATAAAAAAAAACCTTTTTTCTTGGAGCCAAGAGTTGATCCTCTCTTCTTCCTCCTAGAAAAATAGAAGATAAAAAGTGAAAAAAGAAGAAAACCGAAAGTTGCTGATAGACCCAAAATCCAATCAACACTCAACACTCTAGCAACAAGGTGAATCCATTATTTTGTGTATCGACAAACAATTACTTAACAAGAAAAAATCCCGCATCATGAAACTTTGAAAAATACATGCTTTCCTGAATTGTTGTTTAACACTACTACATGTCCAAGTCCTTAATTACACTATCTTTGCTGTTGTTGATGGTGATGGTCATCGTAGTATTGTGATATTCTCTGACTGGTAACGTAGAAGGGAGATAATTTAGCCATTTGGGTGCAATAGGAGAATGTCTTGGTGCGAGGAAAGAAATTTTTGGTGTAACTGTTTGTATTGGAGGAAAACCTCCATTTTGTTGCCGCCTGAACCTGACACCTTCTCTTTACCTTCTCCTCTTCCCGATTGGTCTCAAGGTACCCCCTATTTTCATCAAATTTTATTTTCTAGTAGTCTTATCTCATTTATTCTATGATGGGTTCTGATTTGTTTTCTGGTTGGTGGGTGTTTTTGGTTTATTGGGTTTTTGCTTCTTCATATAAACATGGATCATTCATGGGCTTATGCTTTTTTTTTTTTTGGATGGTTTATTCGTTGTTCTCTTTCTTCCTTCTTCCCTTAGATGTACATGAGTGACTGTATATAAGCATTTGATCAAGTCCGAGTTCAATTGGTGACGTTTCATTTCTCATGAGGATTGGAACTTCGCCATGTTTTTTCAACATGCTTGTGTTCTTGTCAAGTTGGACTCTGTTGTTTTGTTTGTAGTCTACTTTTTGGTTGGCCGATTTAAAGAAGAAACATTTGTGCAAAGACTTTGTCAATTAGTCTCTAGAGGCACAAGTTTTCCGTTAATCTCTCTTCACTTTCTTGGCTCACATTCGCGAATCTGAATGTGATTCAAGCTTTGCAGCTTTAAAAATGGTATTTGTTTCCTCTTCAATTATATTCCTAGGATAAAGAAGGGTATTGTCCTGAATTTATTCATTTTGGATCATTTTTTGTATGCTCTTCACGCCTTATTCATACTTTCTTCAATTTTTCCCATGGTACTTTAATTACCAGGCAAATCATTTAAACGAGGATGTCCTCTATAAATTATATGGCATCATGCACTCCTTGTTGCAGCCCGGAATTTTATTCTTGTTTTATTCCTATATTAACATGACTGGCAATTCTCAGCTTCAAGATGTTTTCCCTTTGCTTTCTTGCCTTTATATATATATATATTAAAAAAAAAAATTTGCCATCTTGCTTCTTTAACTGTCTTGACATGTTGGGGTGGGGAGCATTTCACTTGATTATGCTTTGTCCTTATGCAAATGTAGGTTTGGCTAGAATTTTTTGGTCTCCTAATGAATGAAGTTGTATGACTAAGTGGTTTTCGAGGCTATTGTGCATTTGTTTGTTTGTCATTTTTTCCCTATTTTAATGCACATGGTTGTCTTTTTTGTTGTTTCATTGCATTATTGTTTTGAATTCCATAGGATCAAATACGTCCAAAATTCTATCCGGCAGCAACTTCACCCTTTACCACCTCCCTGTCTCTCTTCTTTCCTCTCTTCATATATTCTTCTGATAGGATCCTCTGTTTCTGTTTGATAATGTTATTGCAAGTAAATTCCCTTGGCTTTATTACAGTCTTTGAAGAGAGAGGAGGAAATTTCTATTAAGTATTCTTGAAACTATTCCCTCCTGAGAACTACACAAGCTTTTAGTAGTTATTTGATCGTATTTACATCTGAAAAACTCTGAGCACCCGCATATTCTCTTGTTAGTGTTTCTAAATACTGTCACTGACATCCGTGTCCATGCTTGTTTCTTGAGTTGTTGCTGCTATACGTAATAAATGGAAAAGCCTCCTTTTTGGTTTTTCTGTGCAGAGTCTTCTCTTTGCTTTTATTGCCATACTCGGCTATTGAAGCCTCAAAATTTTGTCATAGTTTTAAATGCCATAAATTTGAAAGTAAAAGAATCGTAAAATAGAGTGTTGAAGAGGAACCTTCAAGTTAGAAATGTGGTTTGCTTAATGGTTTCTTGTTTTGTTCACCTCTAACAGCAGGCCGAGGATTTGCTTCTGGAAGAATAAACTTGGGCAAAATTGAAGCCCTCAAAATCTCCAGGTTTGAGTTCATTTGGAGCAGCAATCTCTTGCAGGACAAGAAAAAAGGAGTTTCATTCTATAAACCTGTGGGAGTGCCTAATGGATTCTACAGCCTTGGCCACTATTGCCAATTCAACAATAAGCCCTTGTGGGGTTTTGTTCTTGTGGTTCGTGAGGTGGCTTGCTTCGAGCCAGAAGCTGCCAATTCACCAACTCTTCTAAAACCCGTAGATTATACATTAGTTTGGAGTTCAGATGATGAAAGTGAGGAGAAGTATGGAGGATGTGGCTTCTTCTGGCTTCCTCAGCCTCCTGAGGGTTTTAAGCCCTTGGGGTTTCTAGTCACCAACAATCCAGACAAGCCAGATTTGGATGAAGTACGGTGTGTTCGAGCAGACCTGACAGATGAATGTGAACCCTATCATCTACTACTTGAATCATATTCTAAATTTTTAAATCTACCGGTTCGAGTTTGGAGTACAAGACCCAGCCATCGAGGAGTGCTAGGGAAAGGTATTTCAGTTGGCACATTTTTCTGCGGCTACTGGACCTCTGAAGAGGAGTTGCATATTGCATGCTTGAAGAATTTAAACCAACTACATGCCATGCCAAACCTCGAACAAATCCATGCACTCATGAAGCACTATGGGCCTACAGTTTTCTTTCATCCCAATGAGGTCTATTTGCCATCTTCTGTGCCATGGTTCTTGAAAAATGGAGCACTCTTGTACAAAGCTGGGGATTCATCTGGTGAACCCATAGATGCAGAGGGCACTAATTTGCCAGGCGGTGCAACAAATGATGGTGCATTTTGGATAGACTTGCCTTCCGATGGCAAAAGAAATACTGTCAAACAGGGAAGCTTGGAAAGTGCAAAACTTTACGTTCATGTGAAGCCTGCTCTTGGTGGGACTTTTACTGATCTTGCAGTGTGGGTTTTCTATCCCTTCAATGGGCCAGGTACTCTTAAAGTTGGACCATTGAATATTTCGCTTGGCAAGATTGGGCAGCATGTAGGCGATTGGGAGCATTTCACTCTCCGCATATGCAACTTTACTGGAGAGCTGTGGAGTATATACTTCTCTCAGCACAGTGGTGGTGAATGGGTTGATGCTTGTGATTTGGAGTACATAGAGGGGAACAAAGCTATTGTTTATTCATCAAAAAACGGACATGCTAGCTTCCCTCATCCCGGGTGTTACATCCAGGGTTCCACTAAACTTGGAATAGGAATACGGAACGATGCAGCACGTAGTAATTTATACGTGGATTCAAGCACCCGTTATGAAATTATTGCAGCAGAGTATCTTGAAGGTAGTGATTTCATTGAGCCTTGCTGGTTACAGTTTATGGGAAAATGGGGTCCAACGATTGTCTATGGTTCAAGAATCGAGCTTGATAAGATAATTAATCATTTGCCCGTGGGTTTTAGATATTCAGTAAAGAACATATTTGAGGGGTTTCCAGTGGAACTCTGTGGAGAAGAAGGTCCTACTGGGCCGAAGGATAAGAACAACTGGGTGGGAGATGAAAGAGGCTAGTTTCCTTCTCTCTTTTACTGCAGACTCTTATTTCATTGGCTTCATTGCTTTCTGTACTCATTACAACGGCTGTAGAAAGACTGAACTTCGAGGCTTATCGCGTTGTATCTACATTTCTCATTCTTGATTATATATATTTATATAATAATCGAGTTCGAGCATGGTTTCCCTTCAAGCAAATCAGTGATGGTGGATCGGCATGGGAGAGTGGAAGAAGAACAGGGCACTAGGTTGCCATTTATGCTGTCCAGTGATGTTGATGAATGAGCTGTAAGATTACCCCACAAAGCAAAATAAAAGAAAATATAACTCGAGAAAGATTTTGATTCCATATTTGATGGTAGAAAATGCAGCATTTTATTAATTTATTTATTTTCCATTGTTGCTCTTGTAAATTCTATGATTTAGTCTCTGTATTGTGTATGGTTTTATAATTTAGTCCTTGTAGTTTTGCAAACCATAAGTGAAGTCCCTTCCACAAAAATCTACTCACTTAGGATTTTCCATTATGGGCCCTTGGCTCTTATTGTAGACAATCCGCCCGGTAAAGAAGACAACTGAGTCAGTTTTCGAGTCGTGATTTCTTTCTCTCTTTCAATCTGACTTCCAGCAGAACACATTGAGTTCGCAGTCTGTCTTTGCTATGCTCCAAATTATAACGCTGTTGAAGGCGACGTTGACCAATCGGCGCCGCTAAATCCCAAACAGCAAATCGATGTAGCGAAACCCGAACGCCATTTGTGCAAATCCTAAGAGAGAGATGTTGGCGAGAAGATTTATTTCCTTGTTTAAGGGCTCCCAAGCTTCCGAGGTAACTAACGTTTCTCTTTTAGCAATAACCCACCCTTTTATTCTAATTTACTGCTTTTAATTTTGCATCGGTGGTGGAGTGAAGTCAGTGAAGTCCTTGGATGAAGGAAAGAGCACGTCATTTGGTCGAAAGGCAGTGTCTTTTGTGTAGGTTACAGTCACGGGTGGTGTTGCTTTGAGCGGCTTGCTATTTATCATGGCTGTAGCAGGTACTTTGTTAATTATCTTGCGATGATGTTACGGGGTTTTCAGGAAGTTTGATTTTTTTATTTTTTTTATAGGATTGGGAAATTGATGCCTTGAAGACAATGTTGCTTTTGTTAGATGAAGACAATGCTGTTTGTTGGCGTAATCCAGTGTAGTTTAGTAGTATTTCTTTGGACTAAGACAGCAGAATGGTGTCTTAAAATTGGCACGAATTGAGAGGTAAAGACGTTTCAAGCCTCTCTGTGCACGATTTTCCTTACTTGAAAATGATTATTGAAGACGACCCTTTATCTAGCATGCTCTTTCGCTTCAATTTTTAAGTGGATAAATTGCAACATTTATTTGTGGTTTTTATATATTCCTAGAGCTTAAGAAAGATAACTTCTATCATGAGAAGAGTTTGTGATTGTTGAAAGCCAAAGTTGCTTTAAGTCAACACCACAGTTATGCTAAGATGACGAACATTACCGTGAACGTACTGCCACTGTTACTTCCCCTTCGGCTAGCACAACAAGTGCTATCACCTCTGTCAACATTTCTCATATCACAAACATGTTCATAATGCATTAGTCCTGTATTATATTGATTATTTAAAATCAAGGTGCAGCCAGCAATCTAATTGATTGATAATTGTCTAATCATCTTTGGCTTGATTGATGGAAGGGGAGGCTAGGGCAGAGTGAGTTTTATGTGGATGGTGAGGGTTGATGGGTTGGATTGGATGGACGAGGATTTCGGGGGTTAGCAGAGGATTGTCTAATCAACTTCAGAATTTAGGCTAGGGCAGAGTGAGTTTTATGTGGATGGTGAGGGTTGATGGGTTGGATTGGATGGACGAGGATTTCGGGGGTTAGCAGAGGATTGTCTAATCAACTTCAGAATTTCAAATTTGTTCTGCAACTGTTGATTGCTGCCCACTTAGGTTATATTATATGATTTCTCATTTTGATAAAACATATTATCATTTTCTTTTAAATTTTCAGCAATGCCATGGAGGAAGCCAGTAAGAAAGCATCGGCAAGATCACTTCATTTCTTAACCCTCGTATTATCTAAAGTCATTAACAAGCTTAGGGTGGAACCAGTCAAGTTGTCTTGGAAGAAATGGACAAACAACTTGTCATTGTGTATGACCTTCATTATTTTATTGTAATATGATCTTAGATGTATATTAGACCATTCCATTCCAACCCTGTGTACTTCAAGAACTTCAACACTCTAAACTTTTTAAGTACCACTACATCCAGTACAAGACATATCTTAGTTGCTCTAACTGGATCATAAACATCAAATCCCTTAACTCTCAACCATTCCTTCCAAGTAGCCCGCTTATCTTGTTCAGGATGACTAGAAGATTTAATCACATAGGATTCCCCTTAGTTAGATCTCGAGCAAGCATAATTGAGGGAGTCATCAGGATGCTTGTTGTTACTTGTGGTCTGGCAGTGGGATTTGTCTTTAAGTTTTGTAGGTCTGTGATAACTAGGGTTGCGAGTGGCGGTGGCGGAGTCAGCTATTAACTGAATGCCCCTTTCTTAACTGTGCTTGCAAGAGTTGCTTGAGTAAACTAATCATCTGACCCATACATTGTTCAGCTCTTTTTGGTAATAAGCCTCAAAGCGAGTCGTTTCTTCACTTTCCATCTTTTTACAAAGTATAATATTATATACTTTAGCATAGGACCTATATTTCAAATACTTGTTGGGCACATCATAAAATTCATAAACACAACTGCATGTAGATGTATAGTTATGTATCATGATGCGCGTTTAGATGCGGGTTAGTTAAATTTATGGACTAGTATATGACCATCATTTGAGCAAGATTTCCAATCCTCTCATAACTGTCGAGGGAATTTGATCTAAACCAATGCTTAATAAATTTATACTCATTAATACAATATGTTTTTCAAAAGATTGGTTCCAAGCTTTTTTCACTAATGTTTAGTGACATTTTTTACATTTAAGGATCAATTCATTTATTATCATTTAAAAAGGGGGCAAAGCCTTTGTTTCCTATATCTCTAAGAAAAACATCAATTTCAACTATATTTTATTAATATTGATGAAGATCCCTCCTAACTTGTCAAGTACTTGAGATGAATTCTTCGGGTGTGGATAGAAGCTTGATTAATTTGCTGATCCATGTTACTCATTTTTCAGCTATACATTGTAATGTCAAATGATATTAAGAAAAGGAACAATTTTTGTAAACTAATGAACATGATATGAAAGACAACAAAAAAATATTGACAAAGGGAAAGAATTCTAATAACTTCATTGCACAAACGAAGAATTACAAGGATTAGAAAACAAGTAGCCTTACACCATTTAAGAGACTAAAACAAAGAGGTTTTTGTTATAGCATGTACTACCATAATCACTCATAGTAGAATCACACAAAAAACAAAGAGGTTTTTGTTATAGCATGTACTACCATACATAATATTCTACAATAAATAAAGTTGCATTTGATAGTTATTTAATAGATAATTACTAATCAAAGATAAGAACAATGACAGTTACAATTAACTTTTAGTGCTACTTTGAAAATACAAGATTATCTTCATTTATTGGATGCAAATTTCTCCTTATTGCCAACGTGTAATATTGGAATTGTAGCTTTCATAGATTGTATTCTTTTACTAGAACTAACTTGGTCTCTATCAAATCTCATCACACCTTTCTACATGTCTTTGCCTTGAATACAGTCACATGGATCATAAGAACTTGCATCAACTTTCCCACTCCCATTGTACATCTTTCCTATGATGATTTGCCTTGTTAGCATAATTAGCAACTTTTTCTGCCATTTTACACATGATGTTTCTATGTAAAAAAGATATAAATATTGGAAAATCTAGATTGACTTCACTAGTTTTCTAAGGTAACGGTAAAGAAGTGATGTTTATAGGTATCGTAGGATACAATCCATACGCTAACTCAAAAGGTGTGTATCTTGTAGTCCTATTGATAGAGTTATTGCATGCAAATTTATCATAGGTAGAACTAAATCTCAACTAATACCATTATCATTGGTTAAACACCTTAGAAGATTACCACGACTCCTGTTAATGACTTCAGTTTAACCATCGGTTTGGGGGTGAAAAGCACTAGAAAAAGAGAGTTTTATCCCTAACTTAGCCCATAATATCTTCCAAAAATAACTAACAAATTAGATGTCCTTGTCTAAAATAATAGATAATGGAAGGCCATGTAGTCGTATGATCTCTTTTAGAAACAAAGAAGCAATATGGGATGCTGACACGACTAAAAGATTGATGTCTTCTTCTAAGTGCAGAAGTGTCAAAGTAATAAATAATATGGCAAGACCGGTGTCGAACCATAGAGAGGTTAATTGTACAAATTATAAATAACAATTATAAACAACAACAATAGTAACAACAACAACAACAATAATAATAGTAGCAATAATAATACTAATAATAATAGTAGTAGTAATAATAGTAATAATAATAATAATAATAATAAAGAAAAAGAAGAAGAAGAAGAAGAAGAAGAAGAAAAGTTGATGAGAACTTTGAGATGGAAGATTAACGTAAGGATTAAACAATGATAACAATAAATGTCAAGGTTAGAGGATCCACTAATGGTATGTCAAACAAGTATAGTATAAACTCTTATTAGT